AGGTCAATACTGAGTTCAGTATTGTATAACTGTATTAATTCAACTGTGAACCTAAAAATTTACAGCCACTTTTGAAAGAGATGTATCCTTGCTCTGGAGTGTGTTACTGAATATGTTAAAGCTATAATGAAATGCTTCTTTTATTCGTGTGGTTATTAAATTAAAAAAATTAATTCTTCAAAAAAAAGAAAGAAAAACAGCCCTCCAAAAGAGTTTCATTTTTGCTCCTATTAACCTAAGACCATTTTAAGTAAAAATTCAGGTTATATATTTACATGCCACCCAGGTAATTATAAATTCAGTTCCCAACCCCCACTTTCCCCCAGTCTTTCTCCAGCAGTCAATGATTGTTTGTTGAGTGGGAATGATTCACAACTGACTTTCTTACTGACCAGAGCCGAAATCAGAACTCTTTTTCTATGAAAATTATTTCACCTAATTGACCCATCAGGGTTCTGCTTTTCCTGTATGTCTGTTGAAGCCCAAAATGTAAGCCACCAGGATCAAGATGCACCCTTCTATCAAGTGACATTGCAGTGTTCTCTTACCCTATCACTGCCCCTGCCACAGCTACTGTTTGTCTCTGCTTCCTCTCTGCCAGTAACAGTTCAATCTTACACTGGATGTTATTGTACGTGGGAACGTGTCCGTCTGTGAGTGTGTATACCCAGTACCTTTAGCTATGCTGCTCATGTGCAGCTTTCTGTCAGTATATGTTAAGACAAGTCAGTAAAAAAAGAAGACTTTAAATATACCTCAGCATAAAAATCAATAAAACTACAAAGTGTCCCTGAGAAAATTAGCTTTTAGATATTAACTAGTTGTAGTCTACCGCCCCTCAGAATCAGCAAATTGAATGGTGGTGTCAGATATTAGCTCATGAAACACTGTTGAAGATTAAGGAAATGTGCACGATGCTCCTTTTGCTATCTCTGTCCAGGAAAGTGCTCAGAATTTAAGAAAAAGAGTCACAGTTCTTGACTGCCAATTGCGAAAATCAGAAATGGCTGCAAAAACTTTTAAGGCATCCACTGAGAAACTACTTCATTTTGTAGAGGTAAGTTTTTCTTTCATAATTGACCCTCTGTCTTCTTGGATTCCACATCAGTGGATTCAACCAATCACAGATTGAAAATATTCAGGAACCCAGGAGCTTATAGGACTCTGTTTTCATAGGGTCGTGCACCTCCTCCCTGGCTTTTACAGTCTTTCCACCCCCTCTTCCTCAATGCTTCCTGAGCCCTGGGTGGGTGAAGTTTAGTGCCGGAGTCCTGTCCAAGGACCAGCATTCTACAGACTCTTAATCTCTAAACTTTGGCTATTTGTGACCTTCCTGGTCCTCTGTTGCATGAGGGAGCTTCATTAATGAGAACTGAGAGATTCATTAGTGACCTCTTTACCCCTGTGTTATGTTCCGTGAGCCTTGAGTGTAGAAGTTGCATTGTAGATGTGTGAATTAGGCCTGGGCAATTAATAGACAATGTCTGTGTGTGACCAGTTGTTGTACTTGGTAATGGTCTCCAACTGGTGCAAAAGAAGCCTCTTTGATGAGTGGTGACTGGGATATTTGTCTGTAAATGTAAGGATACATATTTTGCACATAGTAAGAAATTACATTACACAAAATTTTAATAAAAATAAATTAAAAGAAATATTCAGGAACAAAAATTCCAGAAAGTTCCAAAAACCAGAATTTGAATTTGGCACATTGCAGGCACTGTGCTAAACTCTGTAAATGAAGTGATGCGTAAGCATCCTGCCCACAGCCTTCCACCATCTTTCGTAGCACTCTAAGTGCTGTTTACCACATTTCCCAGTTGTACATTATGTAGTCAGGCCCGGGTCGATTGTTCCTACACCAAACTATTTCCTGTCCTTATCGTGAAAATAATAGACTATAAAACCACTTAGGTGACATTTGGATTGCACTGTTTATAAGTAGTCTAGAATTATTTAAAGTATCCATATGCTGTACATGACTCATATGCATACTACAGGTCCATTTAATACAAGAAACCTGAGCATCTCTGGATTTTTATATCACCAGTGATCCTGAAACCAATCCCCCATACGTATATAGAACTATATTATATTTTTTAAAGAAATTCTGTGAAACCTGGTGGTCCCAATTTCTTGGGAGCTTGAGGCAAGAAAATAGAAAATTCAAGGCTTCCTTGGTCTATTGAGTGAGTTCAGATCCGCCTAGGCAACCTAATGAGATCCTCTCTCAAAATAAAAAGTGAAAGGCAAGCTGGGGATGTAGTTCAGTGGTAGAGTGCTGGCCTAGCATATACGAAACCCTGCCTTCAATCCTCAGTAACAAGGGAGGAAAGTAGGGAACGAAGGAGGGAAGGTGGCGGGAGGTGGTGGGAGGAAGAGAGAAAAGAGGGAGAGGAAAGAGGTCCTGTCCTAGGAGAATGCGGTGGTGTGTGGTGGCTACAGGACAGTCTCTGCCACAAAGCAGCAGCTCTCGGAGTCAGAGTTAGAGTTGGCTGAAGAACAGAAAAGAATGGCTAACATTATATACACTGTTAAGAAAGTAGTTGAGACACATTAACATATACTATGCTTTAATGAATAATTTCCAAAAAATCCTGGTACAAGATAAACATAATTTGGTAACTGTTAACCCTATAAAGAAATTCTCTAGAGGATGGTAAAATGGCTCAGTGATTTAGTGCACGCGTTGCTCTTGAAAGGACCTGAGTTCAGTTTCCAACATCCAAGTCAGGTGGCTTACAACCACCTGTAACTCCAGCTCCAGGGAATCCATCACCCTTTTCTGGTCTCTCTGAGCACCTGCACACTACATACACACACATTCACATAAATTTTTTCAAATATTAAAAAAAAGAAATAACCTTATGCCTATTTTAGGTATAATTACATGTTAATATGATTGATTCCCCTTACCATAATAGAAACATCTACATACTTAGTGAATGAGGAAGTTCTAAATACTAATTAACCTAGCAAAGAGATTTTTAAAACCTATCAAACTTATGTATCTCCTTCACCATCTTGTTTGTTTTTAGACTGTTCAAGAAGTACTTTGGGAGAGTTCTTCTACTTTATCAAATTTAAGGTAAGAAGCTTAAGTGATTTTTGCAGTTTGCCCACAGAAGAAATTCTTCATGTAATAATTATGACTAAAATGATAAAATACTCTTAAATGGCCATAGGATGCTACATAATTTCCATTGACTGCTCTTTTTTTAAAGTCTTGGAAATAAATGCAAGAACATACTCTTTTGGATTCTCTATAAAAGAAATTGCTGGAAACATTTAGCAAGTTATTGTAACTTTTTACTCTAAAATTGAGGAATCACACGTCCTGTCTTTATGTGGATAAGTTGCTGGTGGCAGATGTACTGTTAAAGATCGGGCTCAGCCCAGCAGATGTGTTGTTATGTCAAATAGGATTTCACGGAACATATTCATGCAATCAACATCTTTCATTTTCATCATTCAGTAGATATGAATTAAGTAAATCATGTTTGGAGACTACACCTTGACTCTGCTATTGCCTACACTATGCTTCAGACTTCACCATTCTTACTTGGAGCTACAAATATACAAATACTGTTTATTAATTTCAAGCAGCATCACTTGCAGAAACAGAAACTACCACTACTGTGAAAATAGAAGTTTGATAAAGGAAATAGAAGAGCTGATCTTCCACACGTGGTGACTTATGCCTGTAATCACGACACATGGGAGGCTGAGGCAGGCTAATCTCTATGAGTTCAAGGCCAACCAGCCAACCAGAGCTTCAGAGTGAGACCCTGTGTATTTTTTTTATTAAAAAAGAAAGAAAATAGGGTCAACATACCATTTTTTTCAAACTTAGAATGCCTACAATTGCTGACTTCTAAGCTCATTTTAATGTTTTATGTTTTAATTCTTATTATAAAATAATCTGACTTTTTTGTTGTTAACCATGCTGTTTAATATAATTCTATGAATTCAACGAATACTATTTTAATAAGGACTTTAAACTATTCCATGATCATATTTACCTTTTATTGGCTTGTGTGCCCCCAACTCCCTAAAGCCTCATTTTGACCTTCACTAATTAAAAAGTAGTGAATATCGAGTTTTAAAATAACTATTTAAAAGCCAAGATTCTAGCTTTACATTAAACTGCTCCTTAGAAAAGAGGCAATTTTTAAAAGCTACAGTAAGCAGCGTTCACCACGTGTGGAAAGTTAAGCCCTGCTGCAGTCCTGTCCCTTCACTGCCATACATCGTATCCTCTGAGTGGACACTGGCCCGGTCATTCCGCACAAAGTAAAGACTGTTTGGACTGGAGAATTCTTTAGTCTCCACTTGTGAATTAATATCGTTGTGCCTAAGAAGGCAGATTGTAAATAGTGATGGTTTATACAAAGTCAATACAAAGGTATCTGTCCTCTTCAAGTAGAAGTTTTAGTGTAATGATTTTGAGGAAAAACTTGCCTTTTATATTATGCCAGAATGCATTTGTTTCAGATGAGGTGCTAGTTAAACTCTGTGGGGCACAAAAACAAAGCAGAAAGCAATGAATATGGGAGAGAGATTTATAACAAAGGGTTTGCAGGATGGGAGGGAAATAGGGTTGGGGAGCAACCAGAATGCATTATATACATGAATGAAATTATCAAACAAAATTTATTAATAAAAATAAAATATGATGTCCTAAAAAATAGTAGAATTCTATAGACCATTTTGCACTTAGTAACAACAAATGAGAACGATTAAGACATAATTTCATAGATAAATATACATATATATTGAATTTATATTTAGTATTACTAAAAGTAATAGAAAATATCTGTTTAATAAATTTATGTTGATATGTTTAATTTGAACTTTTATGAAATTAAATAAAATCCCAACAAATGATGTAGAGGTAGGCCATCCTTCAGCTACTTTCTTCTGATCTGTAAAGTCAACCTAATTTTTTAAAATATGCCTGTTTATTGTATAGTAAAGAATGGAAAGCAGAAACACTCTTTTATGTGAATGACTTCATGTATAACTCTGTGAAGGTCATGTTCCTAGGAACAAAATTCTTTTTGTACAAACATGTAATCGATACAAATTCAGATTCAGCAGAGACGTATTGCTTGCCATATGCTCCATTCAAGGCCCCTTCATTGCTCACACAGTGAAAGAGGAGCCATGTTTTCATCGCAGACTGCCCTCCCACTACTGGGTAGGAACGGACGCAGCTTCCCGGCAACGCTGGCCCTGGAATCTAAGGAACTTGTTAAATCTGTTCGTGCCATACTTGATATGGATTGTAAGTTATCTTCAATTTTTTTGCACTTTTTTGATAATTCATTAAACAATACAGAAAAAAATTCTAGCCTGATAGTATAATTGCATATGTTTGTTTGCCTAAAGTAAATAGGTACTCTTTAAAAATCTTAACACGTCAATGTGGGAGAGAATATGTGCTTTATTTAAAGTGCTCACAATGACATCTAACTGAAGATAGCTAATTAATACATGTCTTTACTTCTACTTTCTTCCAAAGTGTCTTTGACATTGGAAAATAAATTCCAAAACAAATCCATAGCAGTTCAGGAAACCTGGAATGGTAAAACCAACATTAAGGAAGATTTTTCTTTATTCTTTTTTTTAATTGAATTTTTTGTGCATTTCATACAGAACATCTTGAACAATCTTAGTCTTCTTTATACACTAGTCCCTGTTGGCACCCTCCCATAGCCCCCCCCCACTGGAGCCCACATACTCTGTCATTCAGGCCCACTGGGTTGTCAGTGTCCCCTATCATTCCCCAGTGCAAGTCCATCCATTGAGGTCTAGTCAGCCTATCTAGAGTCCCTTGTTTTAGGAAGATCAACTCTTCATCCGGCAGCAATCAGTTGCTAACATTCAAAATTGAGGTCTGCTGTTCATTTTCCCAGTTCTATGCTGAGTTATTGTCTGCCTGAGTTTGAATGGGACTTGTGTTTGCTGACACCATTGCCATAGAATCATGTGATCAGATTCTCAGGAGCTTGTAGGACTCTGTTTCCATATGGTCTTGCACCTCCTCCCTGGCTCTTACAGTCTTTCCGCCCTCTCTTCCAAGATGGTCCCTGAGCCTTGGGTGGGTGAAGTTTAATAAAGGGATCCTGTCCAAGGACCATCATTCAGCAGACTCCTGATCTCTACACTTGGGCCATTTGTGACCTTTTGTGTTCCCGGCTCTCCACTGCATGAGGCAGTTTCATTTTTGAGGGCTGAGAGATTCATTAGTGTCCTCTTCATTATCCCCGTTCTATGTTCCATGAGCCTTAGGTGTAGAGGTTGCATTATAGATGTGTCACATAGGCCTGGGCAATTCATAGACAATGTCTGTGTGTTACCATTGTGGTACTTGGTAATAGTCTCTGACTGGTGCAAAATGAGCTTCTTTGATGAGTGGTGACTGAGATATTTGTCTGTAAATATAAGTATACATAGTTTGCACATAGTAAGAAATCAAATAAGTCTAGTGATGTGACAGTCTTGGGGCTTTCTCTAAGATCTATGGCCACTCCAGTCATGTGTATTAGGATATGTTTACATTACCACCCTTGAGTTTCCTCCCTTTGAGTGGGCATTTAGTCAAATTAGGTAGCTGTTGATTGCCCCCAAGATAAAAGTGCCATTACTGCACCAATGTCATATGCTATACCAGTCATTGATGTTATTTGGTCTTGAAGCTGGTGTTGGATCATCCATTGATGTTTTCTCTTGGCACCTTCATAGTGCTCTCCAAAACTATGAGAGTTTGCCTTCAGGGGAAGTGGTTTCAGGTCACTTACAGCTCTATTGCTCCAAATCCTGTGTCAGAAGTATGTTCTGTCTTCGTCAATAGGGTCTTACATCATTCAAGAAGATTTTAATAAAATGGAACAGATAAAATCAAATTGAATGTGGCCTGATGGTACAGGACTATAATCCCAGTACTTGATAGGCTGAACCAGTAGAGTGGAGTGTTTGAGGCCAGACTGGACTGCATAACATGCTTGAGGCTACATGGGCTATATAGCCAGACCTTATCTCAGAGAGAGGGGGAGAGAGAGAGAGAGAGAGAGAGAGAGAGAGATTGATTTACAGTATGGCCCAGCTTCCAGAGAAGACCCCACAATCCCAGCTCCTGAGGATTTGAGGGAGAGAGATTGCTGTGATTTCTAGGCTACTCTGGGCTATAGCAATGAGTACTAAGCAAGTCTGAACTGAAGATTGAGGATTTTTCTCACAGAAACAAATAAAAGCAAAACAAAAAGCTGATGAAGCAGTGAGTTAAGTGAAATCATGGGAAGGAAAGGAGAGGGAAAAAGGGGAGGGGAAGGGAGGGGAAGGGAAGGGAGGGGAGGGGAGGGGAGGGGAGGCAAATACCACACCCAGCAAAAGAACAGGAACAGATTCAAGGGTGATCACAGGATAATTACTTAAAGGGTGTGGAATATCTGAATCAGTTATTGCCCTTCAGAGCTGCTGGCTTTCAAGCATGGGCCAAGAGAGCACCTCTCATTGGGTCTCGCTCAAGCCACCACTGGACTTACAAGAGAAGCCCAACAGAGCTCTAAGTGATTTCCAGCACCCACACAGAGGTGTGCAGAGACACCTAAGTGATCGGACGTTGCCACCTTTCCCTCCTGTCTCCCAGGCACTTTTGCCTTCTCATGATACATTCAATTCTTTTTTTTATAACTATTTTCAACATACCATATATTTTCTTGCAATGAAAATTATAGGTGGTTTTTCTAAGTGTAACATTATTTTTGAAAATCAATAACAACATGTCCTAAGTATACAGTAAAAGAAAAATAAGGGGAATGTGATTTATAATAAAGCAACTTATATTTGAACAGGCGATGCTTGAGTGCAACAGCGTTAGGCGATGTGACAATATAAACCTAGTTCCTACATGTACAGTCTCCACGAAAGTGAGAGACGTGAAGGTAGACTGAATAACCACGTCAGGGTCTCCATCTAAATAGCACAGTCCCACTGGCGTCTATAGCATGATTGTCTAAAATGGTGAATAACTCTTGGTAAAGTTCTGGACAAAGGAAAATACAATCTTCTATTAATTTATGTAGTGATTATGATCCTAGAAAAGTGAATGCATATTAAAATTATGCAAATGTGTTTGGGGTTTATCTAAAAACAGTCATAATCCAGAATCAGGTAGCTTAAAACTTTTTTCAACAACATGAAAGTCTGGTAGGATATTTTTAAATCATAAGACATAGAACAGCTCTGTTGCTCTGGACTGTAGATGCATTTTATAGAGAGAGGAGTGTGGCATCCTGACACCTTCCCTCTCAACAATAAATATGCTCCCCAAACACTGTGACCGTAGATAAGCTTCATATGTTGGCACAAATCTTCCTGAGTGTGGCGCACACTTACTGAGAGCCGCTGGTGCTGCTCTTTTTAAAATATGAACATAACCAAGAATCATCTAGTGGTGGCCATGACTGAAAAGAACTGTAATGGGAAATTTTAGATAAAGAGAAAAAAGTCTAGTTCAATGAAGTTACATAATATTTTGAAGATGACTATATTTTAGAAATAAATGGAGTTATCTTTATGAAGAGTAATAAGGCATGATTTCTGTTATACAAGAAGTAGCTTCTGTGAAAGAAACAAAATTTGAAAGAGAATTTTTAAAGGCATGATAAGTATCCTTTCCTATTATGTGAAGATAATACTCTAAAGGATCGTGTAAAGATTAAATAATATTGTGGCTGGAGAGATGGCTTAGCACTTAAGAGCACTGGCTGCTCTTATAGAGGACGCAGGTTCAATTCCCAGCACCCACATGGCAGCTAACAACTGTCCATAACTCCAGTTCCAGGGGATCTGACGCCCTCTTCTCACCTTCTCTGGCATTGCATGACATGGGTGAACTTATAGGCATGCATGCAAAATACTTATACACATTAAATAAAAATAATAAGGTATTTTTAAAAACAAAAGATTAAATAATATATTTTGTATAAAGCCCCTATCCCTACCAGAATTCCCAGCATAAAATATGTTTTAATTTATTTGATCTTTATACATAATATTAATCTTTTCATTAGCTGTCCTATTTACTTTGCCCCAAATCAACAATTCAGTATTGTGTCTTATGGTCCCGTTAACTGGCTGCATTTGGCTGGGCGGTTCTTCTTAGGGGACTCAGATGAGGTTACCGTCAGGTGTTTCCTGATGTTGCAATCATCTGATAATTCTACTAAGCTGCTAATTCTACTAAGTGGGAGCTCAACTTGGGATGTCAACTGTAATACCTGCCTGTATGTGCCCTCTCCACTATGGCAGCCTCAAGTTGTTAAAATTACATGATGACTCAGAGCTCCACACAAATGGTTAAATGATTGTGAGACAGATGCTGCATGGCCTTTGTGGCTCAGCCTTACTTCCGCCATGCCCTAAGCCAGCAAAGGAGACTTAGGCACCACTCTTGATGGTGAGGAACCAAGATCACATTTTAAAAGAGTGTGTAGTTGGAAGTCATTTTTATGGTCATCTTTGGACAATGCAATTTTCCATACCAGACATGATGGTTCCATATCATCATTCAAATATCATTTAGTATATGGTATTTAGCAGAATAGCAGGCTAGCTTTTGTTTCTCTGTCTCTTCTCTTCATGTCATGATCTTCTGTTGTCTTACTCTAACATTCTACCATCCAGAATTGCCATTCTTAGCCTTCCGCAGGCTAGGGACCAGACGATACATGAAGGTGAATAGACAAGTGGGTGGATTGATAGATGGCTGGAAGGATGGACAGATGACAGACAGGTAAGCAGGCATATATAAATAAGTAGGGAGAGAGAGAAAGAGAGATAAATTTCTCTTGTCAGAATTTTAAGTTGTGGATATAATCCTGGCTAATGAGTGACTTGATTTGGTACAATAACATTCAAAGACCCTTTGGGTAGTGTTTAATCTTACAAATACTTTGCATAGGATTAGAAATCATGGTTCTAAAATAGTATCTGCTCACTTTGTACAATGAGTATGTGTTTAAATGTTTATGTAACCTAATACATTTCTTAAAGTTATGTGTCAAATACCGTAAGAATTCATTATATGAAGGAATTCTGTGGGTTTTAGAAGGGATGAAAGCAATGCTTCTTGTATGTGTAAACTCAGAATTCCATGTATTAAACATTTTTATGTTTGGGTGGGAACAGTGGAGGGAAACATCTGCGTAGACATAGCCCAGTGGACATTGTTGTCATTAATTTTAATTATCGCACTAACATTGACCTTTACCTCTGTCAAAC